GGGGGGGTTCAGCCTGGAGAAGAGAAGGCCAAAAAGGGGAGAGCTCAGAGCCCCTTCCAGTGCCTAAAGGGGCTCCAGGAGAGCTGGGGGGGACTCTGGGTCAGGGAGGGGAGCCGTGGGACGGGGGGGAGCGGTTTGACACTGACAGAGGGGAGATGGAGATGAGATGTGAGGAGGAAATTCTTGGCCATGAGGGCGGTGATCCCCTGGGGCAGGTCGCCCCGAGAAGCTGTGGCTGCCCCATCCCTGGAGGTGTTCAAGGCCAGGTTGGACGGGGCTCGGAGCAACCTGGGCTGGGGGGAGGTGTCCCTGCCCAGGGCAGGGGGGGACTCGATGACCTTTAACGGTCCCTTCAGCCCAAACAGTTCTGTGCTTCGATGAATCCCTGCTGACACAGGAAACCTGGTGCTTCAGGCTCCCTTTGTGGCACTGGTGTCAGGCTCCTTGAAAGCCACGTTTGGGAAGGAGGTGGGGTGATCCAGTGTTGTTCAGGATGAGGTCCTCATCACAGCTGCCAGAAGGAGCTTGCAGCCGCTGTGTCCCTGGTTCCCCCGGGGTGCACACTGGGACTGATAGTGGTGCTCTTTGCTGCCGCCGAGCATGTCCTGCTGTAACTATGTCACTGCTGCGGGCCAGAGGCACAGGTTTCTCTGCAAACCCTGTCCCTGTGCCCGCGTGGGACGGGGAAGGAGATGGCATGGTCCCACTGCTGCATGGGTGCCTGTCCTTCGCTGCAGTGACGGAGTCGCCCACGCTGCCACATCAGCTGGGACGCCTGATGGCCGGGCAGTGCTGCTGACGGCGCGCTCTCCCCTCTTCCAGGCAGCCTTCCTTGGGCAGAGGGGACTGACGGAGGATGACTTCCTCACCAAGGTGCTGGAGGGCATGGCCTTCGCCGGCTTCGTGACCGAGCGGGGCGCCCCGTACCGCTCAATCGACCTGTTTGATGAGGTAAGGGGCAGTTTGGGAGCAGCACCCCCCTGCCTGGCCGTCCCGCGCGTCCTTGCTCCGCTCAGCTCTCCCTGTCCCTCGGGGACTGAGCCGGGGATCTGCCGTGACGCTCCGGCCACAGCGTTGCACCCGGGGATGGAACTGGGGTATGGGAATTGTGGGGATGGATCCTGCCCGGCTGCTCCTCTCACCCGTCTCTTCTTCTCCCAGCTTGTGGCTTATGAAGTGAAGCGCATGCGCGCGGAAGAGGGGAACAAGCAGAAGGTACTGCGGCACATCAAGGAGCTGGCGGAGAAGCTGTACAAAAACGTGAGTCCTGGGGGCCCGAGCGCAGGAGGGGGAAGCTGCCTGGAGCGGGGTACGGGGCAGGGAGAGCCTGGCTCGGAGCCCCGGTCAGTCTGTCCTCCCTCCGTTAGCCCTTGCTGGAGCACGATCCTGTCCCACCCTGCGCTGTGTGGCGGGGCACCTGCTGGTGGGCCCAGCAGGGTCTGGGCTGGCGCAAGCTGCTCCAGGGAGCAGGATTCCTCACTTTCGGGTGGTCTGGGCATGAGGCACTCCGTGTCTTTGCTCCGGAGCGGCCGCTACACTTGTTGTCTGATCCGGGATGGGCTAGCAAAGGTCTTCTGAAAGCAGAGCAGTGCCCGCGGGGCCCTTGGCCATCTCAGGCCGGAGCTCCCGAGTGGTGCTTTGCTCGCTGCTGTGTTCAGGGCCAAAGCGAGCTGCCCTTGCGGCTCGGGGGAGCAGAGGCTGCCGGCACTGCTGCCCAGACAGCCCGCCTCAGGGCTGCGGGAGTCTGGGGGTTGTAGGTACCGGCTGGGAGAGCGTTTGGCCCCAGAGCAGCAGAGGTTGCTGAAGGATGCCTCGCTGGGGCTCCTGCCCTGGGAGAGGACGTGTGATGGCCACGTGCCTGAAAAGAAACTGTCTTTGCTGTGCCAGGAGAACCCGTACCCCGCGGTGACCATGCACAAGGTGCAGAAGCCCACAGAAGGCTGTCACCTGCGCCTCCACCAGAAGCCTTTTCCCCGTCTGGATGAGGGGACAGTGCAGTGGATCATCGACCAGGCCACCGCCAAGCTGCAGACGGCCCCTCCTGCTGTGAAGGCGGAGAAGAAGTGCATGGTGCCATCGGGACCCCCCATTGGTACGTACACGCAGAGGGCCTTTCCTGGCGGAGAGAAACCCCTCTCAGGAGGAGCTTTACCGTGGTGTCGATGGCTCCGTATCACACTATGGCACGTCTGAGGGTGGTGCATGAGCAAAGCATGCCTTGGAGAAGCAGCAGCACTGTCCCCGTTAGCTTCTGTCCCTCAGGCTGCATAGAATCACAGAATCACAGGATGGTTAGGGTTGGAAGGCACCTCTGGAGATCATCTAGTCCAACCCCCAAGAGAGCTCCATGGAGTCTGTCAGCCAGCGTGAGGGGACGGCTGAAGACCCCGTAGTATTGTTCCAGCAGGAGCTCTGGGAGCCTGGAGCCCTGCCCACGCGGAGCAGGGGAGGGGGCACCCATCTCTCCCCACCGCGGGGGGAAAGTCCTGCCCTGGGTGAACTAAGAGGCCGTTCTCTCCCCAGCTGCCATCATGGAGCGCAACGGCAATGCCCTGGCCAACAGCGCCCGTCGCCTGGAGGTGGTGAGGAACTGCATCTCCTACGTCTTTGAGAACAAGATGTTAGAAGCCAAAAAGGTGAGGGGGGCTCCTGAGGAGCTGGTGGTTGAGGGAGGGAGAGGGGGGGGTTGCTCTGCCTCTCCTCCGTGGCAGGCTGGAGAGGACGTTCCCTGCCCGTGTCCAGATCTCTGCTCCCCGGCTCTGCTCCCCCGTGTTCACGTGTTCCTCTCTCAACACTGTTCCTCCTTGTTGTGTCCCTGGGCTTTTGGCTGATCGCTCCGCCGCACCAGCTTAGCGCTATTTCTGCATCTCCCGCTGCCCCTCGGGGTCTGTCCCGTGGAGATACCCACGTTGAGGTCCTCCCCAGTCCTGCTGAGCGGGGAACCTCCCCGGGCTGTGCTCCCGCTGGCCGGCCGTGGGGCTTTGCTCTGGTTTGCCTCCGCGTCCGAGCGCGGATGAGCTGTCTGTAAACAGCCGGGCGTCAGCCAGCGCCTCCAGGATGTGAAGCCCCTCCTGCCTCTCCTCGCTGTGGGCTGCCCTTGAACTCACCGTCCGACCAGAGCTCAGCTGGGCCCCATCTTTCTACTCCGTGACTTCTTCTTTCCGCTGCAGTTGTTCCCTGCTGTGCTGCGCGCCATGAAGGGCCGGGCAGCCCGGCACTGCCTGACCCAGGAGCTGAACCTGCACGTGCAGCAGAACCGGGCCGTGCTGGATCACCAGCAGTTTGATTTCATAATCCGCATGATGAACTGCTGTTTGCAGGTAGGAGAGGGCTGGGGAGAGCGCGTCTCTTAGGAGGGAGCTTGTCTCCCCTTGTGGGGGTGGGTCAGGGGCGCTCGCAGTGAATCCTCTGGTGACCTCCACTCTCTACCCCAGGACTGCACTGCCATGGACGAGCACGGGATCGCAGCCGCTCTCTTGCCGCTGGTCACCGCGTTCTGCCGAGTGAGTATCTGCAGTACCCTGAGACTCAGGGCTCCCTGGGGGCCGCAGAGGCTGGCAGGCTGAAGGGCAGATTACACAGCATCCCAGACTGGTCAGGGTTGGAAGGGACCTCTGGAGCTCCCCCATCCCACCCCCCGCCAGAGCAGGGGCACCTCCAGCAGTGGCACAGGACGGCGTCCAGGCGGGTTTGGGATGGCTCCAGAGGGGGAGACTCCCC